ATATTACTTCCCCGTCTTGAGGCATTGGTGCAGATGCTGCAATCATTGAGAGAGGAAAGAAGAAAAAAAAAAAAAAAAAAAAGAAAATTACATTTAATCTTAGCTTAACCAAATATTCTATTGTTTTTCTTAACGTTGTCATTTTAAAATAGTATAAACGTCTCGTACACTTACGTATTTCCAGTTTCACGTCTGGAAATTCGTCAAAATTAGAAGTATCGTCGATGGAACGTACTTCGACTGGAATCGCGGCAGGTCTTTCTCTGATATGTTCCCAATCCACGCCACGGAAAAAGGGAGCGAGTTTAAGCTCTTCGATACCTCTTTGCGCACCTAAAGGATATTTCAAAAAAAAAAAAAGAAAAAAAAGATTATTATCGTGTATAAGAATAAACAAAGATTGTAAAAATGTTATTCAAAATGTTAACCTAATCTCCTATCAGCTTCGCAACAAAATCTGATTATGGTATCCTTGGCTTCCTCGCTAATAGGAACTTCTGGTGGAAAAACCAAAGTCTCCCTCCAATTCATTACTTTCCTGTAAGTTTCTTGGGGATTCTCGCTGCAGAAAGGAGGATATCCTGGAATAAGTAGTAAGAATAAAATTTCTTCCAAAACAGGATACGTGATCCAAGATGCACATCATAGAAAAGAAAGATACCTATGAGCATCTCGTACATAATAACTCCTAAAGACCAGCAATCACAAGCAGGCCCATAACCAGTTTGTAAGAATACTTCCGGAGCTATGTAATCTGGTGTTCCTACTGTGCTGTAAGCCAACGCTCTCCTATTCCTTTTCCAACTCTCTGCTCTCCTTTTGCTATCCATCGCTCCGCCACTTCCGCTTCCACATGATGTCACTGTGACACAAGATTTAACGTATAAATATTTGATCAATCGAGAAATAACGAAGGAAGAAAAGATTAGGGGGTTTCGTTATAAAAGAATAAAAACGAATGGAAAAAAAAACACTTACTGAAATCTGAAGGTTTCGCTTGACTAAGATCTCTGTAGAAATCGGTTCTATGAGATTTTTTCAAACCCGTGCATAATCCAAAATCAGAAAGCTTTATGTGACCTCGCGCGTCTAATAACAGATTATCCGGTTTGATATCTCTGGAAAAGAAAAAAAAAAAAAGAAAGTAGAAACGGTTATTAAAATATCGATTTTCGAATCTTGTATCTCTTACCTATGAATAAATCCTAATTTATGAATAGAATCGATTGCCAACGCAGTCTCAGAAATATAAAATTGTGTACACTCCTCGGAAAGCGTGTCTTTCTTCATCAGCAGTGTCATCATGTCACCTGCAATAAATTATTGTATTACGATTTTATCGAGCCGTGCAAAACGTAATAAATATTTATCGTGTAATTACGTATAATGAAATCAAGTTGTATCATCAAGTATTTATATATACGATAATTCAATTCCGATGTGTATCGAGGAAATTTAAAAACAACAGCAAGACTAGTTTCATAAGACAAGGAAAGATGTATAAAAAGAAAGGAAGAGGATAGATAAACAGAATATGGAAATAAAAATGGCTTACCGCCTGGAAGAAACTCCATGATTAGATACAAGTTTATAGGATCTTGAAAGCTATAATACATTTTTACGACCCATTGGTGATCAGCCTCCACCAACACGTCTCTTTCGGCCCTCACGTGCGCCACCTGCTCCTTCTCCAACATGTCGGCTTTTCGTAAAATTTTCATCGCGTACACGTGGCCGGTGTCCTTCTTTTGCACGAGTCTTACCTTTTTTGACACGCGAGACAGTCAGAGATTAAGATCCGCGTTTATATACTATACTTCTTTATCCTATGAGAAAAATTTACCTCTCCGAAAGCACCTCTGCCGATAACTTTGAGAGGTTCGAAGTCTTCGACGCCGAGCCGAGACCGTTTCAAGCGAAGAAATTCGGTTTCTTTCTGGGCATGTTGCAACCGTTTCTCCTGCTTCTGTTGCTCCGACAGTCCTTCGTCTTTCAACGATTCCTCTAATTTCGCAAGCCTCTGCTTTCGCTCGATATGCTGAGCTATCAAATTGCTGTAGTAATTCTCCAAGGTTACCTAAACTCAAAAACATATAAATCTTGAGGCAGAGAAAACAGTTATCCTATATAGTTGTATATAGCGTGTACTAGGAAATGGATTAAAAAAAGTATCCTTTTCTAAAAATTATTGTTTTTTTTTTTTTATTAACGATGTATTTCGTTGTTCAAATTTTAATTCGAAACTATTTGAAATTGATTAGATAGAAATAAGAGTGAGATAGAAAAAATGAGGAGAGAAGATGAGAGAGAGAGAGAGAGAGAGAGAGAGGAAGGGAAAGAGAACTCACCTTGGCCTTTGTAGCCTTGTCCAATGTATGCCCGCTGAAACGGATCGTGCTCTCTGTGGCCGCCATCTCCAACACCCCTGTAATACACGCAAAACGAGGTCACCGAGTGTCGCACTACGATCTCCAGAACCGAGGTCTCGTACTATTATGACAATGACACAAATCCTTCCGCACTCGAGTATCTCGATGTGATTAAAAACACGATCGAAAAACCGGCTCTATCGCCGTGCACAATTATCGGTAAGAGAACGAATTATCTTAATCCTAACTCTCTCCTCCTCGATACTTCGTACTCGTGCTGCACACCTCCTTTTAACTTTGTCTTATAAGAGTAAAAGATACGTGGAAATATTGTATTTAATTTAAAAAGAAAAATTTTAAACAAAACGTCTTAACCGAGAATAATCAAGGAGACAAGCCGCGTACGTACAAGTTGAATCAATTCTTAACGAATTTCCTTGCAAAGAAGAGGACACAAAAATACGAGAAAGATGCACCGAACGTGTAAAAGTTGACCAACTTTCAGGGATTGATTAGAACAAATCGCCGAATATCAAGTGTGCGACTCGGTCAAGCTGTGTGTACGTACCTACTTACGGAAAGCATGGAGCCTTTCCTTCAACGCAACAAACGTTTGCTCGAACGAAACGCAGCGAATATCACAATCTATCTTATTCCATGGAACGGAGGATACTTACAGCAAGGATTCGAGAGTAGAGAACGAGCAAACGAGATCAACGCCAACGTTTCTCCCGCGACGTTTGCCCCGTGAATGCGACAACCATAATATTTCTCGATTCAAACACGAGAGAGCGAAGAATCGTGTAAATAATCGCGGTGTATTATTCGATAGATGGAACGGTTCGCCGAATTCGCGTGTGCGTCCGCCACGCTCGTCCTCAAGGTATATTTCGCGATCCGATCCTCGTAGAACTAGGGAGTAGGTACAATGACGTCACGCGCTGATTACATTACGGACTACAAGGCCGTATTAAACTATTCTAGAAGCCGTAGTTTGCGCGTCTATTGCGTTCAGTGTGCAAATAAAGGGTAACGTAAGACACGCGAACTATGTTCTTCGCGGGCTCGTTACGCTTCCCGCTTCGCCGTTGCAATTAATCTAAATTTACAGTTACGTGTCGGTGACCAGACAAATAACACTATCGAACGCCAAGAAACTTCGAATCGCGCGAGTAACTCGTCCTATTGTTCGAACACTTCAAACGTGTCGAATCGAGGAAAGATATATAAGAGTGATTCATTTCGAAATCATACATGTATATGAGTTTGAAATAATTAAAATAAAGTATTGTCACAGAGATGAAAGATAGGAAACAACGGTGCTCTTTCCTACTGTTGATCGTACGGTTTCTCTTCGACACCGATTACGTAAAACATGTTCGTTCGTATCGCGCACGCGGTCAACCTTTCAACGATGGAACACACAATGGTTTATCCGTGCAATGACGCATACCGTTATTATTTTCGTTGTTAGCCTGCCCTCCTCTCTTCTTTCGACCTTGTCCGGTAACAAAAAATTGACGCCAAGTCCGTCGCACAAAGTCCTTTTCATACTCTTATTTTTTTTCCTTAAAAATACGACGACCGAGCTTGAAACTTTTTCTAGAAACTACCAGAGAAGAAATGGACGGGTATTGTCGTGATTAAACTACTTAATTGGAAACAATTAATGGGTAAATCTGTCAAATTGTGCAATATTCTTCCCGCACGGTGATACTTGCAACTGACATTTCGAAAACGTTCGTGTTATATGCTAATTTCTTTGGAAGCTAAAGCAAACTTTCGTAGTCTTTAACGCTAAAGAGCTATAGCATGTCATGAATAAATATACTCGCGTTCAAAAGTCGGAGGAGAAGAGCTATTCTTGAAGAAAAATAACTTATATGTAAATATTTTTTATAGCTATTATATGTATTCGTGAAAATATTACGTATGTACGTTTATAGATAAAAACGAAGAATTTTGACGAAACACAAATTTTATGCACCAGAAATCGAAAAGGAAAATATTCGAGATAAATGATAATAATCGTATGAAATAAGAGCATGGATAGCTCACGATACAAGAACGTCGTTGAACTTCAGTTAGAAATCGTGTGAAAGTGAAAACGTCGATTGCATCGTGCTACAGTGACCTCCGATACGAACCAACAAGTAGGAAACTAATCGTAAATATACATTCGAATCGAATATACATCCGGATAAATTGGAAAAAGATCTTTATTTCGTGTTATTTTCTTCACTTTTTCCTTATTTTCCTATCAGTCATTGGTTAACTTTCCTTTCACTTGTTCAACTTTTCCTTTTCTTATTTTAAATATCGATGATTATATTTATCGACAGTTACACGATCTGTTTCATTAGACGTTATAAAAACTTGTAAATATAACATGAATTTGTATATTGTATATTGTATATTTAAAACATGACTAGATAAGTGAAACAATGTTTATCAAAGTCTTCAAATATTTACGTATCGAAGTTTTACGATTGAAATCTTCGATATTATACGTACGAAAAAATCACGTCACAAAAAGCGAGAAAATGTATACTCAGCACATGGGGAACTATCAACAAAAATCGCGTGATGCACTGAACAAAATTGACGCGTCAGCGGCAACGCTTATGCGATCGTATCGTTCCATCTATCCTTCAAAAGAAATGTTTTCTAACCAAAAATTTGCATTCGTTTGAACGCTTACTCTTCTTTTAGGTTATGTCCTGTCTAACATCTCGATACATCTATAAACTCGTTCGTTTGTGATCGTTCTGTTTGTGTCATCCATGTCAGGACAAATAAATTACACTGTTTCTAGACCTCTACAAAAATACGTAATACTTTTTAATTTTATCCGAAAGATGCAAGACGCATGCGGAACTTCAAATTTCAACGTATCTTAGAAAGTGAAAAAATACTAGGATAATTTTACTAAAGAGGGCAGCACAGATGCATTAAAGGAACATTGAGAAATTTATCTTTTTACCATTCGATACCAACGAAACAAGATTTAAATTAATAATTCAAATAATAATAATTTTATACATAGTCAAAGTGTCAACGATCTCCCGTATAAGTAAATAAGTAAATTGCTGGTTAAAATATATATATTCTCGAATGCGGTAAAAAATAAATACGTAAAATTTAGTAGAAGTCATTATTGATTTCACATCTTTCTTCGGACAAGCGTCTTAATAAAGAAGGCGTTCACGTATGCTTGTGGACGAGAAGTATATGAACCAGCTAAGGGTGGAGATTACACGTATGCACATATGTAACCCGTACTTATACGTATCGTGCGTTATACGAGCGTACCAACTATCGAGAGCATGAGTCACCCTATGCGTAGGCGTAGATGGTAATACGCTTATCGGCATGAGCGCTTTTAGAAATTATTTACATTCGGCGACTGTGTAATGAAGGCTTTCTGTATGGCGCGGAGACACGTACGTTACTAAAGTAATTGCGGAAAAACCAATTCCTACGTGATCGACGATTACGAACGTTCCAACCGACGACACATTTTCAAACGCGTCACGTTTTCGCGACGGTGAATGAACGGGTAATGACCACCATAAGAATTCCGCATAGACGTTCTTCGAAATATTTGCAATTCCCGATGGATCATTCCTGTTTTCAAAATGGATATTATCATACTACGAAAAACTATGTCGAATGGTCGACGTGCGCGAATTTATGTACTACTCGATGACGCGTTAAAATCCTCGTTTTCGTCCAGACTTTTCTCCTTTTTCTTTTCAACCTTTCCTTTCTTTGTTTCATTCTCTTTTGAAACACGCTTATCGATCCTTCCAATTTACATATTCCAAACTATTTGACGTATTGTATATACATGTATGTTTGTTAGGTTAGGTTAGGTTCTTTTCTTTGCTGCATGCGCGTTTATAATCCGGTGAATGGTTCTTTACTTTGAAAGACTGAGAAATTTTCGCAACCAATGCCAAAGTTGCCACGGATCTAAAAACCAGCATCTAAATTTATCTCGAGGATACACGCGGTGAGTGCAACCATCGATCGATATCTCGCCACAAAATTCAAGAATGGTTTCTTGAACAGTGAGAAAAACCAATTTATCCGGACGAATTGATAAATGTATAAATACGATATATAAATGCATTTTGATAGGATATTTTATAGCGAAAATTTTAAAGCGAAGGCGTGTTCAAAAAAGGTATACGTTTTCATTAGATACTTTTATTCGGCCATGATATCTCACGGTCAAGTACGGCTTACGACGAATCGATATGAAAGTACACTTTTTCATGAAGTACACTTACTTTCTGAAATGTACAGTTGTCTCTTATCGAAATACGCGTCACATACGATATATATATATATATATATATATATATATATATATATATATA